TAAACTAGCCCACCTGCCAGCGGCCCAAATCATTTTTGCTTGTGAGTTTGGTCTAGCATCGATCAATGCCCCAGGCCCTAGAACTGGCGGGCCAATTACAACACCTAGATGTGTTTGGAATTTTTTTGATGCAAAGCGGGCGGGGTTTTGAGGGCGTGATGAAAAAGCTGAACGACGCTGGAGAAAGCACAACAAGGAAGAGGGCAACAACTATTAAACAGTTCTCCATTGACTCAGCTTTGGAATCAGTTTTGGAAGGATTAGACTTGGGGTTTTGGTTAAAACCTGAGCAGGAAGAGGCTCTACGCTTGTTCATTTTTGAGAAGGACGTATTCGCCGTTTTACCGACAGGCTGTTTACACTCTCCCACCAGCTTTCTCTCCCGCTTACTATGACACAGTCAGGTGCGCGTTGGCCAATAGGCACAGACAGCGGTTTGGAAAACAACGGATTGTTCTCATCAACAATCTTCAGATGTCTCATTCATCAGGGCCAGACTAAATTACACATTTAATCTGCAATTTAGTCTGGTTTATCAGGCTAAGAAAGTGCATCTTGGGTGCACTCTTCACTTAAAGACAATCAGGACTCAGTATCGCCACAGAAAAAAAAAAAAGGTCAGTGAGCAGCTCCTTTAAATTATGTTTAACATATTTTATTCTATTTCTCCTCACTTCTTATTTACCGTATTTTCACGACCATAAGGCGCACCGTACTAAAAGGCGCAGTCTCAGTTATGTGTCCCATTTCTGTATTTAACACACACATAAGGCGCACCGTACTATAGGGCGCGTTTTTTATATACAGGTACATGTCCTCTACTACCTTTAAATACCTCTACTGCGTATTTAAAAATACAGCGAGGGCAAAACTGAGTATGACTGTGCTTTATTCATGTATTTATTACAAAGTATTAATCAAACCTGGGTGCTGGCCGTGAGACAGACACATCGCAGATGACACAGCGCTGTGATCACTCCTAAATTAACTGAAAATCCTGAAACCTGCCGACGGAATTTGTTCGCTTTTATTACCGGTATCCTGGTGCCTGCAGTTAAAATTATTTAGATGAAAAACACCTGCCAGCAGCCGCGGTGAACCTGGAGGCTGCCCAGCCTACAGGCTGCTGTTGAAGGGATTTCTGCTGTCGGTGCACCGCTGGTATGTGGGGGTCTGAGCGGCTCCGACAGAAATAGATAATCTGGATGAACTGACTGCAATTATGAAGTTTTCAGGTGGACTTTCTCACTTAAAAACATATTAAAACTACTTTATTCCCACTGATCACAGCAAATATAGCTGCAAGATTTAGATTATTTAGATGAAAAAACACCTGCCAGCCGCCACGGTGAAACCAGAGGAGACCCGGCCCAGAGGCTGCTGTTGAATTACGTTTTCAGGTAGAAAAATAGAGCGGGAGCAAAACTGAGTATGATTGTGCTTTATTCATGTATTTATTACAAAGTATTAATCAAACCCATCAAAGTCATCATCCTCTGTTTCTGAATTAAACAGCTGCGCTAAATCAGACATGCCAATTTCCCCTTCTTCGCTGTCAGAGTCACTTTACGTGCAGCGCGGCTCCTCAGAAATAATGCCGGCTTTTGCGAAAGCTTGAACAACAGAGCCAGCAGACACGTTAGTCCAAGCATCTACAATCCATCCGCAAACGGTGGCGTAACTTGCCCGGCGCTGCCTTCCACTTATCCTGAAACTGTGCTCTCAGTCTGTCATCCATCGCTCCCACGCCGCTCGCAGCCTTACTTTGAACGGCCGCTTCACACCGATGTCGAGCGGTTGAAGTTCCTTTGTCAGACCCCCGGGATAACGGTGAGCACAGCGTCCATTTGATTCACCATGTTTTTCTCATCAGCTGTGAGATGGGCACGCATGGAGTCACAGATTAACTGCGATGGTGATGCGTGGAAAAAAACCACCGGGTCTCCTCACATACACCTCCCTCAGCCACGCTTTCATCATCTCCTCATCCATCCAGCCCTTTTCATTTGCGTTAATATCATATGTCATCAGAGCGCTGTGTCTGTCTCGCTGTCAGCTCCCAGATCAGCTTCTCTGATTGGTTGATGCGGCGCCTCCAGCAGCAAAACTTAAATTTTTCCATCTCGAGCAGCAGCAGCGCGTTGGCAGATGCTTCTGCTGCACCTGCTGCGTCCCGTTCACACCGATGTCGAGCGGTTGAAAAGCGAGCACAGCGTTAATTTGTTTCCCCATGTTTTTCACATCAGCTGTGAGATGGGCACGCATGGAGTTACATATTAACAGCGATGGTGAGGAGTGGAAAAAAAACACCTGGTCTCCTTACATTCAGCCACTCTTTCATCATCTCCTCAATGAGGTGGTCTCAAAAGTCGCAGTTACAACACACATAGGGCGCACCGCACCAAAGGGCGCACCGCACATTTTGAGGGAAAAAAAAGACGTTTAATTGCGCCTTATAGTCGTGAAAATACGGTAGTAACCAAGGTAACCAAACAGCCTGCACTCTGGGTCCCTGAGCAAGACCCTTTACCCCTGATTGCTCTCCGGGTGCCGCACAATGGCAGCCTACTGCTCCCCAAGGGAACGGGCCAAAATGCAGAGAACAAATTTCAATAAAGGGATTTTTTTTTTTACAAATAGTTTGTCTAAGTTTAATTATGTATGAGAAGACGTGTTTTTGTTTATTCGGTCAGTATTTAGTAAAGTCATCACAATAAATTGTTAAAATATAACAATGTGTTCTTTAAATAGACCCTATTACAAAAAAATTAAGCCTTTCATGTTGATGCAAGGAAAAAAAAAACTTTTTAAAGAAAATAGCTGCTTATTAATATTGTTAGTGATTGATAAGATTGATAAACTTTATATTAACAATACCTTACATCACTAGTAGGTACATCAGTTCCTCCTTTAACAACATGTTAAATGTGATAAATATGTGTGAATTAGATTTAGGGTTATTTTAAAGCCATCCTTTAGGACTGATATTGTCTTGTTGGCTGGTTAATTACTGAAACTATCTAATAGCCAAGTACTACAAACAGATTATTTATAAGATGTTTAGCAAGCGTGGAATAATAAGTGCAATTTATATGCAAAATGAAGGGAAGAATACATATTTACAAATGCATGATATGACCTTTAGTCCTGCACTTCTGCTCTCTTAAGCTGCATACAGCATGTTTTCCTAATATCCTGCAGCTCAACCAAAACCTAAAGCAACTCTGCATATCAGAGATTTAAATCAAGTCGAGTCTTCAGCCACAGCCTGTTAAATAGAGCTAGACAGTATATTGAATTGTAATGGTTATCCCATTATTGTGCATAATATAAAAAATGGAAAAGGATATCTTGCATGCTATATTAGGTGCAATATTTAATTTTAAGTGTCAAGCATTCGTGCTTTGCTTCTTTTAACAGCTGAAAGGATATTAACTTCAATAATACACAGACTTGATCAGGCTAAAGCAGAAAGAATGGATGGGTGTCATTAAATGATGGTGAAAAAAAAGAAACAGGCCAGAAAAACATGTTTTAAACAATAATATAAACTGTAAATGGAAATGTCAGGATAGCTTTACAAAGCAAAATAATAATGAAATCAGTAAAAGTTGTCTAAGTCTAAGTAAGTCTAAAAGATAAAAAAAAGTATCCTTTTAAATGTTAATGCATTTCAAAACCAAAAAGTCTGTTTGTCAGACGGATGCATTTACAGAGCAGAAACAACAATAATTTTGACTTTTCAGTAATTTATTTATGACTGGGATATATTGGCCCATTTCATTCACTGGCTACATCTACAGGGGAAACGTATCTGACAAAACTCAACTCAAAATACAAACATTTATCTTTAAACCTCCTCGATTCAGAAAACATTTTGTTTCTGACTAGAAAAAAAAGTTTATTTTAAATCAAGGAAGACATTTATTTATATTAAAGAAATTTGTTTATACTAAATAGCAGATTACACAAAATTTGTTTTTGCAACAGGAAATTTGGTTCTCTGTTTACTTGGAGCTGAAAGACAAATATAACCTAAACATGAAAAACATCCAGAATGTTTGAGCCAAAATGAAAATAAAACTATTAAGGTCTAAAGAAAAAAACAACAATAATACAGCCAATAAAACATCGGATGAACACAAAACACAGGCAGGCATAGAACCGCTTTCCTCTATTAATCTATAGGACTATTACTGTCCAAGCATGCGACGGTTTACAACTGCACAGACTGAACAAAACAATCTCCACAGCACCATAATAACTTCAATTCTTCTACTCAACAGAGTAAAAATATCGTTGTATAGAGGACCAAACAATTGGATAAATGAAAAATCAACCAAGTGTTTGAAAACTAGATTGTACATCTGCTTTATTGCACTGAAGAAGCAATACAACAATGGCTATCTGGGATCATTTAAGTCTTTCTTTTTTGTCGGTTTTCTTTTTCTTAAATAGACAAAACAAAGAAATGTGTAACTCTACAGCTCTGTGTGAAGAGATTGTAAAACACATAAACAGAACTGTAATCACAGTGGCAGTTTAGCCCTGAGAGGGAGTGGTTCGTTATCAAATCTTTACGCAGACTTTCCTCAGTTTAACAAGTTTAGACAAGAGAACATGTATAAAAAAAACCAAACCTGCTCTGATCTAACACAGCTCAGCACATGTTCTTATATCAACTTCAGTTTAAACAACACAGCCAGAAGAACCCCAGCTTTCCCCCACTTGCTCATCAGCAACATCATTTTTTGTAGCATAAAAAGTGGGAGCCTTAAATCAAATGTGTGAAAAAGCAGATTACTGCATTCTGTCAAAACTCACGAGAGTTAAAAAAAACAAAAAAAAAAAATAACAAAAAACAGTCACTCTGCTCACTGCATTTTATGTAAACAGAGTCAGAAGCAAGTGTTAGACCCACAATCAACTCAGGCATGTCTCCACCCTCCTGCCTAGACCCAGCTGCTGCAGACCTCTGCTAGCAATGAACCGTTTCTCACCTGCAGTTTGTCTTCTGGTACATTAAGCCAGTGGTTAAATGCCTGGGAGAGTTTCGTCCTTACTTGTTTTCCTGCAGAGAGAACAATGCAAAATATTATTCAAGTAGTCAGAAAGAAACATTTTAATTTACAGACTCCCTAATCAGATTGGTTACAAATCATCCATCATATCTGCACATATAAAGCCAGTAAATGTGCTGCTGGCATTTTTACTATTTAACTCAAGGAACTTTGTAGACGCTTTAAGGACAAAGATAACATTAATTTCACCTCCGGCTAATATTCCTGCAGAGAGCAAAGTATCTGCTTTCCTCAACTATAAATATAACATTAAAAGCGACAAACTATTTTATTAAATCAGAACTTGCCGTTTTAATGTTGTTGTGTAAATAACAGAACTCAACATTACTACCATACGAATGCTTTTTAGAATAACTCTTAAAATGAGTTATTTATTCAATTTCTCATTGATTAACAAACTTTCCCTGGAGTTCATTACATTTCTTCATGCAAATAAGAACTCTAGAAATGTAGAGTTGCACAGTGTAGATAATAACCCATTTGTTTCCCAACTGTGGGACATTTTTTCTTCTTCAATATCAGAGATATCAGAATAGCAATAGAATACCTGGATGCATTATTCAGTAAGGCAGTATATTTCAATATTTCTTTTTACACTTTGATAAGGTATTTCGCCTGCTGGATAGACCTCAACTAACTCTCACATGATAAATATATTTTAGAGGCTGAGGTAATTAAGCTAGGGGTGGCAGATATATTGTGTAAAGATCCAGGAAGAAAACTGTCTGCAAAATGTTGGTTAATCTTGATTTATATCCTCAGTATAATAAAAAAGGAATCAATTATATGCATGGATCTGGCCTAATTTTAGGTTTTCAGATGTTGGAGGTCTCCTTATTTCAGATGTTTGAGATAAGATGGACAAAGTTCTTTGGTTTGTGTTTTATTATAAATATTGGATGGTGCATCATCTGCTTTATAGCTATCATTAAATCAAAAGATCCAATGTTAAATGGAAAGAAGTGAAATCATTCAAGATAACCTGAACAGATTTATGTCACTCTCACTTCCTGTGATTGTGTGGAACAGAAACAGAAATCTAATCATTACATAAACCTAGACTAAAAGGATGACTCTGAATCAGACAATTCAGACCAACAGAAGGTGTTACTAGTTAAAGATTTTAAAAAGTTTGGAGGTATAAATTTTTTTATTAATTGGGCTGAATCAATCTTCACGCAACAAATGTAAACGGTTTTGGTTGACTTCACAGTAAATGTCTTACTTATTGCTCCTTTAAGCCACTAATAAACCAACTATTTATCCAAATGAGCATGCTACACGACCAGTCCTGTTATTTCTATGTTAAATGAAGCAGAAAACATGCATTTCTAGAGTCTGTAATCTGAGTATTTACCAATCGCTCTTTAAACTTTAGCTTCAAACAGTTTTCTTATATCTAAATTTCTACAAATATTAATATCACATAGACAAAATATATATTTTTTCTGTATTATATTTTACTTTATATTATAACCTAGTAACGGAACTACAATGGTAATTAACATGACTATGGTCAACAGATATTTGGCAAAGTGTCAGCAAGTCATGAAAAGTAGAGATGCACAGATTGATCAGCCGACCTCGATTTTCTTAATTTGGGAGATCAGTGATCGGCCGATAGATGTGAAAACGATCTTTTCCAAAGATCTTATCCGTCTCTGCAAAGGTCCAAAAATTAAATTCTCTAAACTTTGATTTATTTTTGAGAGCAATAATTTCAGAAGTTCCAATCGTTTCTCAGGTGCTGATTAATGACTTTCAGTAAGATAAGATATAATATTAAAGGTTTTTTTTTTAATATTATAACAACTGACATAAAAAAAAAGTAAAAATAAAAAAAATCGCTGCACCCCTTTTTTTTTTTAAAGGTCAGGTAACACGTTTGTGGGTTTAATTTACCTGGACAGAAGCAAAATAGGAGAAAAACAGCATGTAGGAGCCTAAATGCAGCTTATTTGAGTTAGAATATTCATTTTTTTATTTTATTTAAAAATATGCAAATTCATAAGTAAGATATTGTTTTTGATTTAATGATTCAAAGGGATTTGGAAGGATTTAAAAAATACTATTTTTATATGTTCAGTTCATTGATATTGTGAATGAGATACGACTTTTATTGTGACATTTAAAAAACCCAGGAAGGGGTGTGGTTTATCTTCATGCCAGGTGAGCGAAGGCAGTGGGAATCAGAAGGAGATTGGAGCTCAATAGTTATTTTACCTCACTCTTCCCAGGCTCCGTTGGACTTTAAAGGACTTAATTTAATGAATGCATTTTGTGCTTTCTGTAATGTTGCGTTAAGTTTTCAAGTAAATCATTAAAATCAAGAACTGAACTCCTGGATTTATTTTCGGAGTGTTTTTGATACAAGGGGGTCTGACGAGCATCAAGCTAAAGCTTCAATAAGGACAGTGAGAACCTATAGAGCAACACTCCCAATCTAGATCTAAAGCAACTGATATTATAACCTTGTAAAAATAACAACATAGCCAATAAGTAAAAGAAAAATTGTTAAATGATTCATTAGATGACACCCACAGAGGCAGCAACGTGCCACTTTCAAAATCAAAACACACCATGCCAGCTGCTTTAGCGCCAACTGTTTCTGCGAGTTAAAAATGAGGCATTTAGTCATGTGATGTTCCACAGAAACAAAACACACAAGCTGGGTGACAATCAAAGGGGCAGCAGAGGACTCCTCATCAGACTACAGTGCTTTTGGTCTATTTTTAACTGAATATCTTCACATTTTCCCAAACTGTCTAGAGAGTGAAAAAAAAAGAAAGGACCAACCTGGCAGCTGCAACAAGTACTTGTACGGTTCTAGCAAAATTCGGTCAGAAGCAGGTTCAGAGGAACCATCCATCGTGCTAGGAGGATTCTCCTTTAAACTGAAAGACAAGGAAGACAAAGAAAAGGGAATAAGAACTGCTGAGGGTGATGTCTGTGTTTATTTTTAGCGCTGCAGTATCATATGATTCATCTGTCTAAACAGCCTCAAAATAAATAACAAAGATGAAGAGCGAGTTTGGGATCAAAACGTTTTTAACAATAAGAATATTTGATTATTTTTAATTACTAAGGCTTTACATGGATATGTTGGTTGATGGAGAATTTTAAATTTAATGATCAGCAAATCACAAAAAATAATGTCACCCATTAAAAAACATGAAAAGTTTTTTTTTCTGCTTCAAAATATATCATATGATTTCATTAGGTCCATTTACATTCAGTTTAGATCATAGGGAATAGAAAATAAAAGAAACAACTCTTCATGTTTTGTAATCTAGCAGTGGTTTAATAACTGAAATGTTACTTTTATGAAAAATGAGCCATTAAACCCCAGATAAGCGCCACTCGTCGAGGTGAGAGATTAGTGGCATTTTAATGTGATTCAGTAAATCAGATGAAGCAGTCTTCAAGCATCATTATCCCCAAAGTGCGTAGGTTAGATGACATTCTGAAGAAATAATGGTGATATTATAATATGAAAGACTTCTTTTTGTTAATCTTGTTTAACACTCTCACACTAACATACAGGAAAATGGCCAGTTTCATGCACAAACAGGTTTTTACCTTTGTTCATTTTAATCATCCTTTGTTTCTAGGCACAAAAACGAACATTTTAGCTACAAATACATTTGTTTTTTGATAAAGTTTTCTTTTTTTTTGTCCCAAAAAAGTGTAAGAGAGTTCACACTAAAGGTTTATGATTGACCTATAATGCCTAAACACCTGCATAATGTGGCCAACCTTTTTTCCCCATGCCAACAAACTGCTTGGTTTCTACTCTGCAGGTGCACAAACCGTAAATTTAAAGTCAAAAACCGCCATTTTAGCCTAAGATTCAACAGTGAAATAGTTTGTTTGTTTAAATCCATGCCAAATATTAACTGTTTATAAACACTATAAAATAGCAAAGCAACATTTCCAAACTGGACTTTTTTTCCTTTTCTGCAGGAGGGAAGGCTGACCTTAAAAAGCATTGAATGCCCTCACCTTTAAGAAGTTTGTTTTCGCTAAAAATATTCTTTTTACTATTACAAAAACAGTAAAACACAATGATAAGGCAGAAAAATATTGAACCAATAGTGATGACTTGATCATTTATCTCGGCAGTGAGCAGTCTTCATTTCATGCAGCCATGTGAAGCAAATTTAAAAGCTCTAACAAATTCTAATTTAGGAGCAAAAAATTGATAATAAAACATATTATTTCTGTGTCAATGTTATGATTGCATCCTCTAAACCTTCATTTAAAATGTGATGAATCACTCTGCAAGTATGCAACAACAAATATATACACTCTTATTCTGTTGTTAATCCAAGCAGCAATGAGTCTTCCTGTCCATGCATTTGTCTTAAAGCAGGACCTGCTCATCCTTCTCCAATACAGTTGAATTATTGGCTAAATTACTTCCCAAGTGCATCACCACGTTCTACAGACGCCTGGTAATGACCCATTTATTTGATTCAGATCTGCTGAGGGGAAAGGCTGAGGGGAAACATGCAGCTGCATGGTTCTCTAACAAGAGTTGGACACCAGTTTCTAAGGACCAATGCAGAATAATACATTGTTTAATTCATTTGTATTCATTTTGAAAAGTAAAATCCTGTTTAAGAGCAGAGCTGAGCAGCAGAGATTGGTTTCTCACATGTATGGGGATGAGTGCACCTCAAATAAATAATTTATTACCAATCATCACAAAATGCCAATCAACGCACCTTCATGCTTCTTAAATCCTCGTACTTCTTTTTAAGTTGCACTACTGGATTTGTTTTGATTTTGTCACTGAATGTTTCAAATTAAGTAACTATTTTCTTCATACATCTATGGAAATTTGATGAGACCACATACCCCTCATGATATAGCAGATATCTAGCCATATTGGCCAAAGTTTAAACAACTTGGAGCATAAGAAAGCACTGTAAAAATTTAGTTGATAAAGTTCCAAAGATATAAGTTAAAAAGATTGTAGAATGGCCTTACTGTTTAGTTTAGTTTAGTTTAGTTTATTTAGGATCCCCATTAGCTGTAGCAAGCTACAGCTATTCTTCCTGGGGTCCAACAACAAAACATGAAATAAAAAAAAATTACAAATGAAATAAAATTATGTGGACATTAAAACAACATTTCCCATAATCTATACATATACATATATACATACACACATATACAGATACATATATACATATACATATATACCCATATACATAAACAGAAACAATCCAAACTAATCAAAACAAACTACAAAGCACACAAAGTGAAGAAGACAGTCCTAATCATGTTTTACCTCTATATTTAATAAATGTTCTTTCAATGATTTTTTAAATTTCCTTAAATCAGTTATCAGTTTAATGTAATTCGGCAGTAAATTCCATGCTTTCATACCTCTATACATAACAGTTCTTTTTAGGGCATTTGACTTTACTTTAGGCAAACTAAAGTTTCCTTCAGTCGCATGCCTAGTCCTGTATTCGTGATTTTCTGAACTAAAAGTAAGGTTTGTAAATAACATATAAGGTGTTTTTAATACAGATATGTTTCTAATCATAACAGTCAATGAGTATGAAAGTCTGTCTTTAACCAACAACCAGTTTAATTTTTTATGCACTGTTATGATATTTGTCCTTAAATCACACTTCAATATTATTCGGGCAGCTCTATTTTGTACATGTTGTAGTTTATTTAGCATCTCTCCTGGGGCATTTGACCAGACGACTGGGCAGTAATCCATATGAGAAAAAATCAATGATTGGATTATCATTTTAAGAATATGTGGGGACATAAAGGTTGCATGTCTTCTTATGACTGTGATTCCTCTACCCATCTTTGCAATCATGTTATTAATATGTTTTCTCCATAATAACGTGTTATCCACCGTCACTCCCAGAAGCTTGGACTCATGCACATTCCTTATCGAGACGTTATTGATATTAATATTCAATATATGATTACTGTTTACGTTGTAATTTGACCTCACAATCATGCTGTTAGTTTTTGCTCTATTCAATACCAGCTTATTTGCTTTCACCCATTTATCCACTCCCACTAGTTCGTTATTCATAATAATTTCTAATTCATTATTTGTTCTTGCTGATGTATATATAGTGGAATCATCTGCATACATAATTATTTTAGTTCTTTTGAGTATGTATGGTAAGTCATTAGTAAATATTGAAAATAATAAAGGACCCAGGCAGCTCCCTTGAGGTACACCACATGTTACAGTTTGTTTTTCAGAAAATGCACCATTAAAATATACCGTTTGTGACCGGTTAGTTAAATAACTGTAAAACCAAGTAAGTGCAGATTGTTCAAAACCATAGCAGGAAAGTTTTTCTAATAGCAGATCGTGGTCAATTAAATCAAAAGCAGCTGAAAAATCTAGAAACACAACTCCCACCATATCTTTCATTTCAATACTCCTAAGCCAGTCATCAGACATACTAATTAGTGCTGTTGCTGTAGAATGAGCCTTTCTATAAGCACGTTGAGAGTGACAAATTATGTTATTAATCGACAGATAATTATTAATTTGTTCATATACTATGGTCTCTGTTATTTTTCCTAACACAGGTAGTAGACTTATCGGACGACTATTTGAGCTGGAAAAGGGCAGTTTCTTATTTTTCTGTAATGGGATTATTTTGGCTGTTTTCCAGGCTTGTGGACACACTGAAGACATAAAACTTAAATTAATAATGTGAGTAATTACAGGAGCGATTTCATCAGCAACCAATTTGAGAAGTCTGACATCCAGTTCATCAACACCCGGTGGTTTATCTTTGCACTTTTTCAGGCAATCCTTTACCCTCTGCAAGTTAACCATTTCTAATTTAAACTTGGACCTTTTCCCTTTCATTATTTCATTTCTTATTAATAAGTGAGATATTTCATTACTTAGGTTAGGCATATTTTCTCTTAGTTTTGCTATTTTACTAATGAAATAATTATTTAAATAATTAGCAATTTCTCTAGATCCAGTTATGAAGCCATCATTTGTCTCAAGGAATAATGGATGCGTTCTATTTTTCCTACCTGTCAAATCATTAACTATCTTCCACATTTTTTTGCAATCATTCCCCGCCTTCTTTACTCTATCTTCATAATAATTCTTTTTTTTCTTTTTATTTAGCTTGGTCACAGCGTTTCTTGTTTTCCTATAGAGGCACCAGTCTTCCTTATTCCCAGTTATAATTGCAGTTTTTTTCATTTGTTCTCTCATTTTCATAGCTTCTTTCATTTCTTTGTCCAGCCAGGGTGTTTTCGATGTTCTGACGGTAAACCTTCTCAAAGGTGCATGTTTCTCAATCACAGGTAGAAATAAATCATCAAACTTTGACAGTGCAAGCTCAGGATTTCTTTCAGTCAACACTTTAGACCAACATATTTCTCTCACATTGTCAACAAAAGAATAAGGATTGAAAGATGCATATGATCTCTTAAAAATTATTGTAGGTCCTTGCCTATCTACCTTATTGTTTTTTTCTACTATAATCAGATTATGGTCACTGCTTCCAATTGGGACCGATGATACACTATATTGCCAAAAGTATTTGCTCACCCATCCAAATTATTGGAATCAGGTGTTCCAATCACTTCCATGGCCACAGGTGTATAAATTCAAGCACCTAGGCATGCAGACTGTTTTTACAAACATTTGTGAAAGAATGGGTCGCTCTCAGGAGCTCAGTGAATTCCAGCGTGGAACTGTGATAGGATGCCACCTGTGCAACAAATCCAGTCGTGAAATTTCCTCGCTCCTAAATATTCCACAGTCAACTGTCAGCTGTATTATAAGAAAATGGAAGTGTTTGGGAACGACAGCAACTCAGCCACGAAGTGGTAGGCCACGTAAACTGACGGAGCGGGGTCAGCGGATGCTGACGCGCATAGTGCGAAGAGGTCGCCAACTTTCTGCAGAGTCAATCACTACAGACCTCCAAACTTCATGTGGCCTTCAGATTAGCTCAAGAACAGTGCGCAGAGAGCTTCATGGAATGGGTTTCCATGGTCGAGCAGCTGCATCCAAGCCATACATCACCAAGTGCAATGCAAAGCGTCGGATGCGGTGGTGTAAAGCACACCGCCACTGGACTCTAGAGCAGTGGAGACGCGTTCTCTGGAGTGACGAATCGCGCTTCTCCATCTGGCAATCTGATGGACAGGTCTGGGTTTGGCGGTTGCCAGGAGAACGGTACTTGTCTGACTGCATTGTGCCAAGTGTAAAGTTTGGTGGAGGGGGGATTATGGTGTGGGGTTGTTTTTCAGGAGCTGGGCTTGGCCCCTTAGTTCCAGTGAAAGGAACTCTGAATGCTTCAGCATACCAAGACATTTTGGACAATTCCATGCTCCCAACTTTGTGGGAACAGTTTGGAGCTGGCCCCTTCCTCTTCCAACATGACTGTGCACCAGTGCACAAAGCAAGGTCCATAAAGACATGGATGACAGAGTCTGGTGTGGATGAACTTGACTGGCCTGCACAGAGTCCTGACCTCAACCCGATAGAACACCTTTGGGATGAATTAGAGCGGAGACTGAGAGCCAGGCCTTCTCGTCCAACATCAGTGTGCGACCTCACAAATGCGCTTCTGGAAGAATGGTCAAAAATTCCCATAAACACACTCCTAAACCTTGTGGACAGCCTTCCCAGAAGAGTTGAAGCTGTTCTAGCTGCAAAGGGTGGACCGACGTCATATTGAACCCTATGGATTAGGAACGGGATGTCACTTAAGCTCATATGTGAGTCAAGGCAGGTGAGCAAATACTTTTGGCAATATAGTGTATCTTGTTAACTGTTTCTGGAGAGTTTGTAAAAATGTGATCAATACATGTAGCTGTTTTAGTACCATCTTGTTTGACACATATTCTTGTTGGCTTATTCATAATTTGATCAAATCCACCTGCATTAGCTCCAATTTGTATCTTATTCTTCAGTGGACAGTTATGAGCAAACCAGTCAATGTTAAAATCTCCAAGTAAATAGACATCCAGACTCACATTCATATTAGCTAACATTTCACAGATTGTGTCAAGATATTCATTGTTAGAACTTGGAGGTCTGTAACAGCAGCCTACTAGTATAGGCTTTCTGTGAGGAAAATAAACTTGTAACCATAATATTTCAATATTATATTTCATCATGTCAGTACACATTTTTACAGGTAAATGATCTTGAATGTAAAAAGCTACTCCACCACCATATTTATTTCTATCGTTTCTATAAATGTTGTAACCCTTTATATGTAATTCACTATCTTCAAAGGAGGAGTCTAAATGAGTCTCAGAAATAGCAAGTATCTTTAGCTTATGTTCTTCTAACAATTCAGCTATATCATTTGTTTTGTTTCTTAGACTGTTTATATTTATATGTGCAATAGTTAGTCCACTTTTTAGTCGCTTGTGTTGGGATGTCATTGCCATATATTTTAAGAAGCAGTCCTGTAAGCATATTTCCGTTTATTTATCCTATCTTGGGGTGCTGGTACGAGGTCGGATTATCAGTTTGTCGTGTCTGAGGTAAGCTATTTCACCCTTCTCACGTGCAGCTTTCAGTTTTGGCATGAGTTCCTTTCTTTTTAACCTTACAGCATCTGTGTAGTCCTCATTGATGAATATTCTAGTACCTTTCAGATTTTTTGCTCTCTGCATTACTGCAGTTTTGTCTTTGAAGTGCAAAAACTTTACCACAATGGATCTAGGTCTTTCCCTATCTGGTTCAGGTTTTCCTATACGGTATGCTCGTTCAATATCAATCTCCCTTTGTAGTTGCAACTTCTGCTTTAGAATTTCTTTAACTTTTTCCTCTGATTCTACCCAAGATTCACCCGGGGTCTCAGGTATCCCATCAATGACCACATTATTTCTTCTGTATGCTGACGGGTTCAATTTTTACAGTTTAGCCCTTTATAAGGCAAGTTACCATTTTTGATTACTTGCATACCCCTTACAAATGGAGTCCCCTCAGTCACTCAGTGAGGTTTAGAAGCACAAGATGTATATCCAGCCATTCAGCAAAGATACAGCTACATGGCTGTATGTCTTATTTTGGCATTTGACCAATTAGGTGAGCCCTTGAATGATATATTACCTACTGGAAATTAAGTTGAAAAAAAAAAAAAGATCAAGTTCAAGGTTCGGGTTCGATTCCCGGCCTGGGGTCTTTCTGCATGAAATTTGTATGTTCTCCTTGTGCATCAGTGGGTTCTCTCCAGGTACCCCGGCTTCCTCCCACAGTCCAAAAACATGACTGTTAGTTAAATTAAGTTGAAAAATAAGTTATAACGTTGTTAGAAAATGTGAAAAGTCAAAAAGTAAAATAAAAAAAGTTAATAAGCCTAGTTAACAATTATATTTAGATTTATAAACTAAAAAAATGTAAGTGTCAGTATCAGAATTAATGCCTCTTTTACTCTCAGAGTGTTTTTCATTAATTTCTTATAGAAGCACTTGTGTTATTTTTCTTAATATATTCAGGAAGTTGGCATTTCTTGTTATTACAGTGTCATTCATTTTTTGCCATCAAAATATCCATATTTTTTGAATATTACAAAGGTAATAAGGTCTTGTCCTGGATTCCAATAACACTATTGGCTAGAAACATTGATTTTCAAAGTAATTCACTGAGTGCCTATGAAGGGTTAATAGAAAAGGATCACTTTTAGCTTAAACTACACTGCTTCTAAAAATTTTTAAATCATAGAATTTTAAAAAACATTTGCCTATATACGAAATAACTTAATAAAAACCACCATGCCTGAATATACTAGTTTGAAGTGCACATAGCCTAATAAATTTTAATTTCTAACTTGTTCTCCAAGATCTGGGAAGATATTTTGTAATACTTGTACTATGTAGATATGGGTTTTATATATATATATATATATATATATATATATATATATATATATATATATATATATATATATACATACATACACAGACTGTAATATGAGTTTTGTCATAGAAACCACTTTTAAGTATTACATTTTATCTATAGATTTTAGTGATAAAAAATCCCTACCTTTTATTTCTTTCTCCATGTTACAGCTAATCCATGAATAATTTTACCGATTTATATTAAATGCTGTTTTCATTTCCAAACCCCACCCACCTTAGTATCAGTCTGCTCACCAGCCGTCTCTGAATTCCGGTTAGCCTCTCTCCTTATTAGTTAGCGGAAGCGGGCTAACGAAAACGCGTCGATACGACCCCGATTAGCATTACTCTTTTTTCTTTTCCGGAACAAAACTTCACGGTTCCACGCTGGCGCTTTTAGGCAGTACATATAACTTTCACACTGAGACCATTTTAGCTCCAAGTGCCCGTGTCAACTTCGACTCTTGCTATGCTAGGCAGTGCTAGCCGTTCCGAGAACAGTCAAGTCTAGCCAGTTTGATGAGCTCTATATATAACCTTCGGCCACGTTACAGCGCACGCGCAGAACCGACTGGGAAAGAAACGACATCTAATATGTGTTGCTATTATATTTGGGTGTTGCCCAGTGAAAACGCCTTACTATCTAATAAATGGTGCGAAGAACGCATCTGTCACTGCCGGGACATTCTGTTTAATATATCAAGCAAACCTATTACTCGGGCCTGGGAGTTGTAGTTTTTTCCGATTTTTTTTTCCCTGTATTGTGACAATCACCCAGTAGGATTACGTCGAACACTTCACTGTGTTCGTTTTTTTTTGCACATCGACCAATCAAGTTTCACAGAGGCGTGTCCGTTTACAGCTTCAACAAATGAGAAGGCCGTTGTTTGAGAGAAGGCGGGACTATTCTATCCGTCAATCATTCTCGGAAGGCACAGAAAGAGCTAGGTTAGAGCAGCTATTCAACAAGGCAAACAGCAGCTCCGTGCGAAAACCACTTTTACTAGTCCACATCCAACATCCACCGGGACACAACGGAAAATTGTCATTTTATTTTCACATAAATGCCCCTATGGATTACTAATACAGCACCGTCGAAGAGCAGACGTGTTCCTCAGCTTGACAGCAAAGGTAAGTGTTGCTTTTGTTCGCCAAAAGCGGACGTTATTTTGAACCTTTTTTACTAGCATGCCTTCCTAAACCAACCGTGACGGTAGCTAACTTGTTAACTAATGACGTGCTGTGCACTTTACAAGTGGGAGGCGAAATGAATGGAAGAAACTTGATGACAAAAGTTGTGCAGAGAAAGGTTGAGGTTGAATAGTTTCCAGTGTTCCTGGAGCTGGCCAGCCGAAGTGAGCGGAGGAATCATCGGGGAGGCTTCAGGCGAGCAGCGCCTGTCACGTACGTTAGAAAGTGATATTTACTAGAAACAATCATGGAGGTGTTTTTTTTTTTGTTGTTCTTTAATGGCTAAGTCGTAGACAAGTGATCGAACGTTAGGGTTTATCGGGTCAAACTGCGCTATCGCGGGGCTCTTTTGTGCCGTCGGTGCCGTTAGCTTCTCGCGATCGACTTGTCCCGGTGTAGGTTGGAGCAGATGGGCTGGCTGCTCGGATCCGATGCGATCCCGATCCGAAAGGGTGAAGTCCCAGCATTGTGTGCGTGACCAGACAAAGTGGAGAGGGATCGGGGTTTAAACGGTGTGTTTTAGGGGCGGGACGATGTCGGATCGAAGTGCGGGGCTGCCGACCTTGGCTTTTAACAATTAGAAAAAAAATAAACCGTCGGAGGAACCGAGACTGAAGCGAGTTGTTTTCTTCCTGGGGATTGACCTTGCTGCAAACCCCTCTCCGTCGAGTTGTTTCTTTGTCAGAAGAAGCCAGCTCAATCACAAACAGTCAGCAAAAAAATGTCGCTGCTGTCGATAAAGGGGACATTTTCACAGCAGGTAAAGTGAGTTTTTTATCCGCCTCTTACTTAGTTTAACTCGGTTAAACGACGTGACACGTTTCTATAGAGGTTTTGTTGCTGTTTTAATTGAGTTATTGTCGCTTAATGGTGTTGCTGTGCGCACTATGTAGGGAACAGCACCACGGAGACAAGAGGAGCGAAACGAGCAGTGTTTTTAGGGAGAAAAATGATCTGTAGTGTTCAGCGCCTCTGGTCTCCTCTTCTGTCCGGCTGTCAGCTACAGAAATGGCGTCATCCTCTCTGCTGAGCTGCTGCTAGACTCGGTGCGGTGCAGACGGTGGAGGCAGAGCACCGGGAGGCTCTCAGCGAGCATTAAACGGCCACATTATCCGTGTTATCTGTGCAGGGAGGAGGGGAGGAAGTCACCCGCTTCCATGTTACACATCGAGTAGTTACTTTGTGCTCCTCGGAGCTGGAGAGCCGAGTCTGACTGACTGGCAGCAGTGGAGCAGGCATTACATAAAGGAGTTTCAGCAGTGATCAGCCAGCTCACTAATGTTAAACACACCCAGCTCTCATTCTCCAGCAACAGATCTGTTAAAACACAGCAACAAGAGGTGTTTTTGCACCCAGGCTTTTATTTATTTCTTTATTTTTACCATCCACCAGTGTAGCAATGGAAGTGATGTCATCATAAGATGATCTTGTTGTGTTAGACTGAAGTTGGCCAGCTTCTGTTATGCATAACAGCTTCTCCATCCTCCCCCTTTTTTTGCAGCCTTGGATTCTTTACACTGGTCACCTAGAGGAGTCATAGAGAGATGAAGGTATGTTCATTCATTTTTCATGTATTCTGGCTATTAGAATAGCAAAGTCTGCAGCACTATGGTTCTGTTTTTCTTTGATATCTAAGCTCAGGTTTAGATTCCTGCTTTTTTTTTTTTTTCAGACATACTTGTTTTTAAGTTTTGCTTTCTTTTCTGAGTCAATGAAAGATATGCTAGAAACAGGGTTTGGATGTAATGTGCAGAGTGAATGAGCTGAAATGAAGTCCTGGCAGGCGTTTGTTTCTTGCTCTTTAAGTGTTGCCATATGTTTAGATTTTTGCACATTTGTCATCAGGTACCTATGTAATTATTTGCAACTTGTAGCTGCAAGGATAGAAATTAAACATTGAGTGTAAGCTTGCTGATGGATAGTTAGGATTGAGGTGATGGCTTATTGTGATGATATATCTGCTAATTATAATTTTTCTGCAGTGGGACTCAAGTGCTTTGATAATAATAATTTAAAAGAAAATGAAGGAGTTGCTTGATTGTTCCCATGTATTAGAGCAGGTGTCTTCAATGTTTTCCTAAGCACCCCCAAACTGATGGCGAGATGGAGCAAGGACCCCCTAATTATATATATTGTATTAAATTGTGTTCTATCAAACTGGTCCTATAGTTGCTCTGTTACAGATGAAGTCATGTAAGGAAAGTCATTTCGCCCTGGGATTATTAAAGTATTCCTGATTCCTGGTTGATGGGACAGGTGTTGTGAATGAAATGGTGCCCAGCTTGAAAGAGCTCCTGTGTGTTGCTGAATGTTTGCCTCCATTTATCTGTTTACTACAGTGTTTTGAATTCATGTGTATTTAAAGACATTTCAATTACTGGAAGGAATTTCCGTGGGAGGAGGGGAATATATATATAAAAAAAAGGCTAATCAACCAAAACTTTCGCGACTCCCATGCAATACCTCTGTGGACCCCCTAGGGGTTGCGGACCCCCTGTTGAAGACCTCCATATTAGAGCATATTTCTCTGACTCTTATTCGGGTCTTACTAAACTTCTGAATGCAGCACACCAGAGGGCTGCTTTTAATGCAGTTAAATAATTGAACCAGATATTTATGCATTGCATTTTTACATCTTGATTTTCTGATGGACTGGTGAATCTCCAAGTGAAGTAGTTGTGATTAAAAACACCAAGGAACATTGACTTTATAAAATGCAGCCAAAGGTGTTCTGAAGCAGACGACTCTCCCTCTACCTTCCATATGAAATACAAAACTCAATCTGATCTTTAACTGTCTGTTTTCTCAAACCTGTCAGGTTGACCTGCATTAAGACCAGCTCTACTAGAACCACTGACTTTAGCTGCAGAAAATATGATGGATGTGTGAGATGCTTTGTGTCGGAGGAATGTTGCAGAACACTTTAGGAGGCTTGATTATTCTACCCAGTTATTTTAAGATAGGTGGAATCATTGTTTTTTTATATTTCATTATTCTAGTTTTTCTTGAGGCTGCATGTAGCGTTGCTCCCACTTTGACCTTTAGCTTTGGTGTGGTCAAATGTTTTGTTACAATTGTGCTCAGTTTTCTGGCTATACTTATGTTTCTATATTGTTTGTTAATTTTTCTAATATGGATTAAGTTTTACCATGTTTATTTAGAGCTTGTCGTCACTTTTTCTTATTATTCAAAGCTTTTTAAAACAGTTGTTTATTCTTATGTAACTCATCGGACCATAGAACCAGCTTTAATATTTAAATCAAAAATAAATTGTCTTCAGTCAGGATCCGCTGCAGAGCAGACCACTACAGAAGATCCTTCCTGCGTACAGCTTTTAGCTTCTACAAGAACTTGTTGAAGATTTACAACAACAGTTTATTTCTATTTGGGATCAATAAATTATTTCTTAATTGAATCTGTCTCAAATGGATTGGATGCTTCTTTGGATTTTAATGCCATTTTTTTCTTTACTTCTCAAAACCTGTTTGCGATATAATCCGATATAAGCAGACTTGTTAGTTATATACCTCTTGGACAAGTTGGACACAATGACTGTGTGCAGGTGGTTCGTGTCCTGATAAGTCTGAGTAGATGGTTGCTTTTGCTTTTTTTATTATGATAAATCACTAGATTCACAGAATTATTCAGTTTGGTAAGGTCTCTAGGTAAGAGTTCTGACAACTAAATTTATGACCCTGGGCAACATATCAAAAAGAAATGAGGATGAATGAAGCTTAAATAGTTTTAGGGGAATAGCTGCTTACGCTAGCATTGCCATAGACGTTAGTTAATCATGTTAATCTACAGGGAAATAGAAAACAAATCTTACATATCACATCATGCTCTCTGCAACTACATAGCTTTAAACAATGATTCAGAATATGTTGGAAATAGATCACTTTCTTACGTGCTCAGTTATGTGTAGTATAATGCATACAATAAATACGAGTGTAAAGGGGAAAATATTTTATAATACTACCTCCCCTTAATCTTAACAACCATTATGTTAGTAGAAATTTTTATCTATGTTTCTCTACCTGTTGTTGATTGTGTAAACAAAAAAACATTAACATCTATAAGGGTTACCTATGAGTCAGCTGACATGCCTGACAACAGGACTATAATATGGAGTATAACCTCTAAATAACTAAACTTTCTGTCAGTTTTTTTCCAAGTCACAGGTCTGTCTGTAATTTAAAAACGCTTAAAAATTTGACCCTACCAACCTAACTTTCTTGGCAAAACTTTCCTAAGTCAATGGCTCTGCTCAGGAATATTCATGGTTATATCACAGTTACAGACTTGAATTTATTTTATTAGTATTGTATTTGAAAGAACAATGCAAGTTTCTGGGGGTTGAAGTTAAATAGAACTAAATCCATTGCAACCCTGGAAAGAAAGAACACCCTTTCATCCAGATTCATGTGTTATGGCGACCCAGTTAAAGTCCAGAACAAAATACAAGACAAATCTGTGAC